ATCTCCGTGTAAATGAACAATCAATTAAAGTTGAACTTAATGGCCAGTTGTCAAATTCAAAAAAGAATATAACAAAACAAATTCAAAAAAGCAAAAAATTGAAGTTTCGTGTAGAAGTCTGAATTTAAACACCTTGGAAGGATTGAAAGAATCTCAAGAGGATTTTGTTAGAATGGAAGTTTGAATTTGCAATCCTCGTGCTAAATGGTGATCCTGTGATAGTCACATGATTTTTAATAGTTTTCATATGTGAGCTGTGCATGTGCTTCTCAATGCTTCTTTGTTTTTCCTTCAGCTTATTTTCTTCTTGTTTGAATCTCAACAGACCGTTGGCCTTGATGTTGTAAAAGCCACGTAGCTTCTTTTTATTAGCTTAATCATTTGCCAAATGCTTGTGTACGGCCCAATGCCTTTGTAAATGTGTTAGTATATAAATTAGCTGTTTCAACTATTATGAATATTTCTTTTCTCCAAAATTTTTTTTTTTCGATTCAGCATCATCGTTTACCTAAATCATTTTTTCTTTCAAAACCATCCAATATTTCGATGCATGGGTAAATCTTTGCGAAGCAAAATAATGAGAATGCTATTTCACATAAAAGAGTTGCATTGCAATTTTTCATTCTACTCAAGGTTTAATGGTAAGAAAAAGGGATTATTTTACCTCTAAAATGAAGGTTTTCAAGTTCAAAAAACACCCGCTCCCCATTCTTGTTTATTAAGGTTTTAGATAATTTCACCGAAGAATATGTCCAAGATATTATTAAATATTAATATTAACATTAAAATGGCAGATGTCCAACTTTCTCAAATGACCTACAGGCTACAACTACAAGCTAGGATCAGAAAACCTAACAAGAAAAAAAAAAAACAGAAAGGCTTATATCATGCTGAATTGCCATAGTATTTGGGCCATTTTTGGCAGTGGAATTTTAGGTCTGTCTACTCTTTTATACTGATAACAGAAATGCATCAAACAAGGTAATTTCATATTTATGATTTTGGTTTGTGATGATGGCCCTTTTTTGTGAGTAAACTTTTGAATCTATATATGTCTTCAAAAGTGAATATCTTAGAGAACTTTAAATAACTATGCATACTATCACATTGTCTAAATGGAGAAACGAACATAAGGCATTAATAATTAAAAAAAAAAAAAAGAACTCAAATATGTGAATTCATGCAGGTGAATCCTTTTTTATGTACATGATGTTAAACCTTTTCCATCATTTATTTATGCTAAACCTTTTTTTTTTTGGTTCGACCTACCTTCGTTATTCACTAATTTCATTCAAATTGAATTTCCTTGTCGTATCCCTCACCAATTGTGTTTTCGGTTCGAATTTATCTGGGGGCGGTTGAGCAAGTTTAGCCTGAACGCGGGCTTTGACCCATGTATGATACTCATTAGAACGAAACAAATAATACCAGTGAAATAAAGAGAATGACCATCATTTCTACAAAAGGCCTATTAGCTCAGTTGGTTAGAGCGTCGTGCTAATAACGCGAAGGTCGCAGGTTCGAAACCTGCATGGGCCAGTTTTTCCATTCTTTGTTTATTGCTTCTTCGTTGAGGGTCCGCGTGATCGGTTCTGGGTCTGGCCGTCTAGGACGCCTGACCGTGACTTGTAGAGATCAAAATCAAAATCAAAATCAGCCTTGGTAAGATCAAAATCTTGGGCAGTGGAGTCAGTGTGATGGAGGTTGTTAAAGCAAATTTGACAGAAAAGGCAGAGAGAAAATATATATATATATATATACATTATTAAAAGAATATGGAAAGCAAGGAGCAAAGAGACAACTCACCCGCAACATACGCACAGGGCACACTCCCACCCCACTGACACCGCATCACACATTCATTCCATAGCCTCCCTTCAACTCTTTGTCACCATCCAATACCAATTATTAGTCCATTTACATCCTCTTATCTTCCATCTCCCTGCAGCCTATCTCTTCATGCCACATCATCATTCTTCCGTCCCAAATATAAAAGGCCAATTTTAGAGAAGAACACTTTCTAGATTTGAAGGTTTTCAACATACAATTTAATCCAAAAATATATGTCGACTAATCATTGGATTATCCTCCCTCCTTACTCTGTACCCACATCCACTCAATCCCCTCCTTTACCCTCATAATTAACAAATTTTCTTTCTTGCCATCAATGATTTAGAATACCCTTTCCCTTTGCATTACACAACCAAAATCATAACTTTACCAATTGCCCCACCGCTTCCTCTACTCTCTCTCCGCTATATTTCAGGGTGGTAAACAAAACAAAAATCAAAATCAAGTGGAAAAACAAAGACTAGAACTAGAAAAGAAAAAAACCAAGAGAAATGGCTAGTGGAGGAGGGTATGGAGACCCAAGCCAGAAGATTGATTATGTCTTCAAAGTAGTTTTGATTGGTGACTCTGCTGTCGGCAAGTCTCAGATACTTGCTCGGTTTGCCAGAAACGAGTTTAGCTTAGATTCCAAGGCTACCATCGGAGTTGAGTTTCAGACAAGAACTCTTGTTATTGAGCACAAGAGTGTTAAGGCTCAGATCTGGGACACTGCTGGTCAAGAACGGTACTCTTTTTTCTTTTTACTTGTATTGCTAGTACTATGCTTTTAACTTTTCATGCAAAAAGATATGTTTTTCTTGCTTTTTTTTTTCTTTGGTGAGAGTTTTTTGGGTTTTCGTTTAACGTGCATGTGCTTCTTTTTCCTTGTTCTTTGTTTTTAGATCTGTAGTTTGTACTTCGTAGACAGAATTATAAGCTTGCTAAATTTGTTTGAAAATGCAAACCCAAGATCAGGATTCTAGAATGGTAGTAGAAATATTTTGTTTGACAAGATTTAATGCGGACCGACAAGACATGGTTTAGTTAATGATTGCATTTAGCTGTCTGGATAGTTGGGTGGTGAAAGGTTTTCAATTTCAATCAGGATTGGATGTTTGATGGATGAATTGTACAGTTACTGTTGATCTTTATATATTGCTTTTAATTTAATGATGGGATTGATAAAAATTTACATGGTGCTCGATGGCAATCTGCACCTCAGTTGAATCTTAATGCTTGCTGGTGTCACCGAGTCACCTTTTCTGTGTAGATGATGTAGCTTGGTACAAAGCATTATATCCTAGTAGATTCTTGATCTCATCATATTGGCAACAAATCTTGGCCTAGACATTGAAATTATGTGCTTGTGGTAGCTCGTCCTTGTATAAATGGTTCTGTGTTAAGTTATCTTGCCATGCTGCTAAGCGGGGTTGTGATCTATATCATTTATCTTGAATTTGAGCCCTTTCGATGCAATTATATTTTTTGATATGTACCTCATTAAATAAGTGGTTGATCAACTGCCTGGCTTTGGTAGCTTTTAAACATTCAACCACTTGGTAATGGTTGAAGCAGTTGAATGCAACCCTTGACAGTTGATGTTTAACAAGGTACAATCTGACCTGCTGATTCTGTCCAAGGCACTTGTTATTTAGTTGATGTTTAACAAGGTACAATCTGACCTGCTGATTCTGTCCAAGGCACTTGTTATTTGGTTATGGGGATTCATTTGCCTAATCATATTCCTGGCTGGATGTACAAGTCTAGCCATCTACATAGATTAATACTATTCACGTATATGAGTAAAACTTTAATACTGTTTTATGATCAGTTGATGATTTTGCTTCTTCTCTTATCTTTCATTGAACAGATACAGAGCTGTTACAAGTGCATACTACAGGGGTGCTGTTGGGGCAATGCTGGTTTATGATATAACGAAACGCCAGACCTTTGATCACATTCCACGTTGGCTGGACGAATTGCGTGGCCACGCTGACAAGAACATTGTTATTATTCTGATTGGCAACAAAAGTGACCTTGAGAACCAGCGGGCAGTTCCAACAGAGGATGCCAAAGAATTTGCCCAGAAGGAAGGACTATTTTTCTTGGAGACCTCAGCTCTTGAAGCGACTAATGTGGAGGCTGCCTTCTTAACTGTGCTTACGGAGATCTTCAACATTGTGAACAAGAAGAACCTAGTTGCTGGTGAGAATCAGGGAAATGGTAACCCCGCATCACTAGCAGGCAAGAAGATCCTCATTCCTGGTCCAGCGCAAGAAATTCCAGCAAAGAGCAACATGTGCTGTAGATCATGATTTAATTGGATTTGTCTCCTAATGTCAGTTTCTTTTTTTGCATTCTTAATAGCAATTTTTGAAGGGTGTGGTATAATCTGTTTGTATATTTACATTGCATTAGATTAGTTTGCAAGGGCAGCTAATTAACTGCATGTTCTGAGATGGGGAATAGAAAAACAGAATTTGAAGCTGAGTTGCAGATTGCTTCAATGTTGTTTCTCAAAGTTATATATTTTGTCCATTTATCCTGTTAAAATTATTGTCTTCAAATGGTGTCTTAGAGAGAATAAGAAATGAATTACTTTTAGAATGAGCAGATCTAAATAGCATTCTGGTCGTTATTTAGTTTCCATTTTACAGTTTTAAGATGGCTGCAAAAGTGCTTGACAAGCTGCATTCCGGTACGGCAAATGATTTAGCATATTATTGCATCCCAACTCTCCTTTTGATTTGTACAATCCTTGTATGAATAATTGCAGCGCCTTGTGTTTGTGTGGATAATTGAAAGCTCACGCCTACTGAAATGCCAGAGCCAGAAGCCAGGTCGGTGATTTCATGAACAAAGCATCCAACCTAACCTACCTAATAATACATGGGACAATATGGTACTTGTATGGAGAGAGGAGAAGGTAACTCAAATCTCTAGTGCTTGATGCTTGCATGAAAAGGATGCTCACTTACGCATCATTACTCCCCTTCCGAAATTTGTACCTTTTTTTTTAAAAAACTTTTATTTGTTCATATAACAACAGCAGTACGATTCCTCTTTCCTGATCAGCGAGGTTAAATCAACATGGTATAGTTGAAGACATGGACAGAATCAAGAATTTAACTACAACGCTCTGATGCCTTACCAAAAATTGCATTTGCGTATTACATCAATACAGATTGACAACCTTCGTAAAATGAACCGGTTATTGTTAAAAATATGATAATCCATTATACCCATGGTGACAATAATTAGACCTTCAAATTGCTCAAGAATACATATAGGATCACTAAACGCTCAAAACTCTGTTGTGTTCAACCTATCAGTCAGCACTTTAAAGGCTTTCAAAGTGCTTAAGAGTACAAATAGGATCTCTAAAATACTCAAAAATTTCTAGTGTTTCATCTATCAGCTGGTACTTCAATTTCAGTGTCCTTTTCAGTACCATCCATATCCTGTATTTTCTCTGCCTCAACATTGTGTTCCTCCATTGAGGTTTATGTTTTCACCACTCATGTCCTGCTTTTCATCTGGCTCGCCAGGGATTTCTTGTGCCAAAGTTCCCTTTTCAGTCTCCATGCGTGCTGAAAGCCTTTCTAGCAGTTCCTGGCAGTCAATTGCTGAAACCATCACACTCACACTTGCCCTACCCTTCCAGCAGCCAATGGCTATTGTTGATGCGTCCGGTTGGACACAATCTGATGAGGTTTTGCCACCTACCAAAAAAAGATTAGTATAGGAATCATGTACAGCAATCAGTCTTACAGGCCCAGCAGATCAAATGAAGTTACTCACCTTCTCTCAAAACAATCACACAGCAGCCTAACATCAGGTTTGCTGCCTTCCGACCAAACTCAGCATCAACAAAGTCTGCAAATTTGATTGTTTTATATTGCAAAAGATGCTTGAAATCTGCTGGGGAAGCATGTAGGATTTGTTTGGTAACGTATGGGAGAATCACCGGCAACCCTTCTGATGATATCCGGAATGCACATGGTGCAGAGGTACCTTCTTTAGATGATTGACGCTCCTATTTTTGAAACAAAATCAAATAAAATAAGAAAAGAAATCCTATGTGATTCAAAAGCAAAGCAGGCTATATAAATTCTGATGAAAATATATTTTTGACAAGTGTGGCAAAATAAAGTTAATAATTTAGCTTATCCAAGAAAAGGTTAATAATTTGTCCTTTTCTTACTCTTATATTCAATCTGGAACAAGACATAAATTGGTAACAGACCTAAGAGATGGAAAATAATACTACCATGTTTCTAGAGGTAAAAATCACATGACAGGATTTGATTAAAGAATATAAATATACTCACAAATATCTTCAGACCAACGGAAGTTATCTTCAGTTGCTGTCCCACTTGAAAATTCAGTTCCAAAACATCCTTAACTGACTTTGAAACATAATAAATTCTCTTCACATGGTTAGTTTCGCTGTTTCTACAAACAAGGTGGCCACTAAATGGGAAGGATTCATCAATACCATAAAATGTCTTAATGCTGTTTATTATAGCTTCATCATTGAAGAAAAGAACAGGATCAACTCCTCTCCACTTGCCCTGACTCTGCAACTTTCTCTTCTCTCCAGCTTTTGCAGAATCAATTTTCTTATCAGCAGGTGGCTGAGCTGCCACAGAATTGGTCTCCAGAGCAACTCCATCTGGCCCATCATCAACCAACTTGGTCTCTAAAGCCACTTCTGAGATCTTTTCTTCAGCCTCTGAAGTCACTTTGGAGATCTTTTCATCAGCCTCTGAAGCCACTTCTGAAATCTTTCCATCTGCCTCTGAAGCTACTTCCACGACCTTTTCATCTGTCCCATCTGCAGAACTACTTTCTAATCCATTTATTTCTTCAGCAACTTGATCTGACAAGTTTTCATGCAGTTCATCATTTTTAGTTGACAAATTCCGTTGTGAACTAACAGACTTGTCCTGAATTGCTGCAGCAAGTATTAGGAAAACCATTGTAAATGCCCGATGCAGTAAGGAAAAGTAGAAAGAGTGGAGGAAGAGAATCAAAATCAAATGGAAGCAGCAAATAGCATATCTGAATCAAAGTACAGATGAAACATCTTAGAAATGGCATATAAAGAAGTATACACAACACACTGAAAACCACCCATAGATATAAAAAGAAGGGGATGATTGTGAATTACCTGCCAAAGGAGATACTTTGTGGAGAACAGCAATGAAAAAGGCTCCTGTGTTCTGATCATGAGGCACTATCCTCATGCAGCATTCTAGTGGGAGATCAGAAACTTCTTCCTCCAAATTATCCAAAGAAGAAACAGGATCATCAGGCTGGGCAACATCTTCAGAATTTCCATTCTCAACATTCTCACTCTTCTGGCTATTGTCGGTTGGATCCATATAATTTCTGCCAGAAGGGAACATGCTGGGAACAATCCCATTTCTGTGGAACTTGCGAACATCCTGATATGATGCTAACCAGACTCCCTTATCACGTACCTGATGCACATGGTAAAAATTTGACATCACATGAAAAGAAGAAAAAAGAAATGCTGAAAGTTGAGGTTTTTTATACAATAGTATACCATTGTTATTAATTGGTAGTTACTTTATATTGGTTTATGTGGGTCTGGAGATCTATTTTTCACGTCTACACAAGGTTGGGAGCACATATCAAACATAAATACCCACAATATGTATCAAATGAAACCATTACCGACTATTGCCATTGATAACTTAAGGAATACATATGACACATTTGTTCCGACATGAGGCACCATATATCAAACTTGGTTGCATCCTTAGATACAAGGTGAAATGCATGCATATGCACACGGCAAAACACAGAAAATGATGCAAAATCAGAATTTCCACTTGTGTGACTATGGCATTCCAAAATTTCAGTAGAATGGAATACCCAAGAATGGATTTGCTGAAAAGGTAACTAACCTTCCACTTTCTAAGACCTGGGCGACGAATTAATTGAGGCAGCTCATTTGAGACATCAACCAGTTCAACAGACCCTCCACATCTCCTTAAAATCTGAAGCAAATAGGAAAGGGGAGTCAATGGGAAAAAAAAAAGAATATGTTCAAACAGGAATGGAAAATCCAGCCAAATTAAAGGATGAGGAAAGAGTAAGATGAAGAAACTAAAGAAGAATATCTCATATATATTGATAGCAAAAATTGGCTGCAAACTGTAGGAGTAACCATTCAGACCAGGATTGCAGTAAAAACTTCAGAACAAAGAAACTGAAAACATACAATTAAATTTAATATTATCTACTAAAATACTTTAGTTTAAATATATAAAACATAAAAATACATGTTCAGAGTAGAACATCTTGTCAAATGCCAGAACTGAACACCTAATTCAAACTCTAGGGCACTAACTAGTGCCATGTTAATCTTTTAGTATCACTGGCATGACTTTATCGATATAACTTCTCACCAAAGATTCATATTGGAGGGATGAATTATATTTATCTCCTTTCAAATTTATATCTGACAACTAGAAGTTGCATTTTTTCATCTTTCTTAAAATTTATGTGGTTCTGACATGGTTGATTATCTTCATAACATTAGGATCCTTCTTGGGCCTTCAACTTTCATTTTAATGCAGCTCCAGCACATTATTTTTATTAGATGTTATTCTTTTCCTAAGAGGAGATGATATTCTAAATCTCTGACGCAACTAACATCAGTATGCACTACATTATTAACAAAGAAGGTAAAGCAGCAAATGTACCATGTTGAACAAAAAAGGACAACTAAATTTCCAAAGGGTATATATGGGCCATTATGAGCTAAGATTAACAGCACTAAATTTAAAAAAAAAAAAACAAAAACATTTTATAGGAGATATTTTAGTTATTTTAAATTTAGTACTTTTTACTTTCACGTAATATACATTACCTCAGCAACCACAGCTTCATTTTCAACTGGATTCATTGAGCAGGTTGAGTAAACCATTCTTCCACCAACTTTTAACAGAGATAGACCTGCCACAATGCAACAGTTTAGAGACTGCAACATCCACTCAATTAAAAATCCTAGGTCTCCAATAAATTGATACCTCGCATGGCAATGTGAATCTGTAGGCAATGAAGTCCATTGCCCATTCCTCCGTTCCTGTATAAATACACACAAATATAATCTAATGAAATGTGACATTAACAATTTAAGAAAATGTAAAAGAGGAAAGGGAAGAGCAACACAAACCATTTACGCCAGATATCAGGAGCCTTGCGAAGAGTGCCATCGCCACTGCAGGGAACATCACATAATACACGGTCAAAGAGAAGTTGATTAATGCTCGGCTCCAACTTATTCATAGTTTCTGAACCATTTGAGATATTTTTGTGGGAACGGCAGCCAGGGAAGTGTTGACCCTCATGATTTGTGACTATCAGGTTAGCGGTGCACATTCTTTTTGTTTGGTGGATGAGAAGGTTACATCTTTGTACATCAAGATCATTTGCTAGAACCTAACCAAGAAAAAGACAATGAAGAATTAGTTCTGCATACAGAATAAAGGGTAAAAGATGTTATCAAAGCAGGCCAAAAAGCTACCCAAGAAAATTAACAAGCACATCAAAATCTACCAATTCATAATCATTGTAAAGTGAAGATAAACAAGACCAAGTAAAACCTAAAGTTAAGAGAGGAGACAAAAGAGATAAATAAAAGCAAACAAACCATGCCATCAGGTAGAGATCCTTCTTTGGTTGAGTGGTGTATAATCTCCAGCAACTGAAAAGTTTTCGAACCAGGTGCTGCACACACTGCATAAGGGAGTAGCAGGTATAGTAACTCTATTTCCAAGATTGATCAGATATAGCTTCTTAGTTAAAATTAAAGGTGCAGAAAGCATGGCTGTGATTTTTAGAAAGAAGACAAAGAACAATATAAAGCTATCTGAATGCATCATAAGTTGCTTACTATCAAGTACAAAATGATCTGGATGTACATCAAGGAAGAGAGGAGGCACCTGCACCACAAACAATTGGAGAATATTGTTTAAAAACAAAACCTATTGAAACTTCCCAAAAAAATAACAGAAAATTATAAGAATTAGTAATTTGAGTCCACCTACCATGCTGACAGCCTCTTGTCTACTGATGTTTCCAATTTCGGTTTCAAGTTTCAAAAACTCATGAAACCTGAAAGTTATTTAACCAAATCGTGAATCGACCAATGACTATATGATAATAAACGAAACATCACTTGAGTATGGAAACATTTGAAAGAATACCGGACAGGTTGGACAGGATGCAGACATACTTAGTAGCCAACAAGGCACCAACTTGAGAAAACAACCACTTAGAAATCGCATCATAGATATAACAAGTAAAAAGTAGGAAATGTTGAAATGATGAAAATATTCATTTCAGACATCCTTGTTTCTTTTCTTTTCAAGTTAAGATCATAATGGGCTGTTGCCCCAACAGCAGATCTGCCCCTAAGCATGTAGCCACAAAATATAAGAATGTATTCATCTACAGAATATAAATAGATACAAACAGAAGGACGTAAGCATTTCATCTTTATAAAATTAGCAGCACTTAACTAACCAGAGTTGGTAATTTGTACAATCAATATATAGAACTATGTATTAATCAGGATTCTATGACAGCTGAACCCATTGTACAAATTTATACACCATAAAATTCAAGATCAACAAATACCCATACCCCAACCGTAACTAAGGCATTATATGAACACCATGCTTTTTACATGAGATAGATGATACATGATTATGTATAATATGACTTACCTCTCAAGAGTTTGGTTTTTCCTTATCTGCATGCGTGAAAAATTCGATTGCCACCCAAGATTATCAGGGTACCAAGGCAACGGTTTGATAGGCTCCAAATCACTCCCTTCATTAGCCTGCAAAAAAAGAATTATCAAAAGCCAAAAGACAGTTACTTAGTAACACCATAAAAATTAAGATATCCTAAACACAACGTAAACCTATGCCACTTACTTCAGCTTGAAGAGATTTCATAAAGTCATTCTCTAATAGCAAACGAATATCCTCACAAAATTGGCTACTGCAAAGAAAATAAGGAAGATATTATTAAGCAAACAAATGGTTTTTTACAGTCAAAACTCAAAACCAAATCTTCATAAAGTAAAAAAGAAAATGAAAAACCAACGTGGAATTAATTCGGAAAGCAGCAGGCAATGGTTTTCTAAGCATTTCCATGAAAGCATCCCATTCTTCAGGTAAAACAAGCCCTTGTTCCTGCCGAACAAAAAACAGCACAAAAGCAATGAAAAACAATTACATTAAAACATTTCCATTTTCAAACATGTAGATGAAATAAAAGCTTACAAAAAGATAAATTTTACTTTGTAATATTCATCAAAGGAAGGGTTTTGGGTGGCAAAAGGCTGCCAAGCTGTATTATTTGAGCTGGGGTTATTCGGGTCAGATGAAGAATCAGTTTTCGGTCGTTTCCAAACATTTTCTCTGCTTTCTTTGAAATGTTTTCTTTGAGTACGAGACCCTCTTCGACCTCCCATTGTTTCTGCTTCTTCTTTTGGATGGTGGCCGCCGCCGAGGTCTTAAGAGGGGAGCAGAGTGTTGGATTTTTTATTTTTCTGTGCGTTTTCTTTCTCCCTTTCTTTTGTCATAAAATCTGGGCTTTCAGCATAGCCCATTTGGTCCTGTCTAGTCTGAGATGAAATCCAGGCAACTCGGGGCCTGGGGGGGGTTCATTGATAGGCTACTTTTGCAGTTCGTATAGGTAAATGGCTAAGGCCCATGAATTAAAAAGTTGGGTTGAGTTAAATATATATCGGCCTGCTGAAAATTGGAGTTTGGACTACACGCTCTTCACGCCTTAAACTCCGACGCCATCCGAACATCTCCACTGCTGCTTGTGTAAGCCTGCACTTTTCTTCTATTTTTCATCCGCTCTGTTACTGCAACTGCACATCTCATGTCCCATGGTGAATCTCTTACAGATCATTATTTAAACAACCAAATGACTCCAAGACCCAACAGTTTTTTACACCAAACGATAATCCAATAGTTCAATAAATATAATTAAAACAAATCCCATATCGTGCAAATGTCTAAAGCAGATTGTCAGTTCTTACTCTGCCAACCTTAAATCCTTCAGGAA